TAGATATCTTTTCTTAATTCATTTTGTGCTGATACTTTTCTCTTTGAATCTAATCACTCATTCTTTTGGCAGGTCATTGCTGATAATGTGGGTGACAATGTTGGGGATATTGCTGGTATGGGATCTGATCTTTTTGGTTCCTATGCTGAATCATCCTGTGCTGCTCTTGTTGTTGCTTCTATCTCTTCTTTTGGCAACAACCATGAGCTGACACCAATGCTCTATCCACTCATAGTTAGTTCTGTGGGTATCCTTGTTTGCCTGATCACCACCTTATTTGCTACTGATTTCTTTGAGATCAAGGCTGTTAAGGAAATTGAGCCAGCATTGAAGAAGCAACTCATAATTTCCACTGTTCTAATGACCTTTGGAATTGCCATTGTTACTTGGCTAGCTGTTCCATCAACATTCACCATTTTCAATTTTGGAACTCAAAAAGTTGTACAGAACTGGTTAGTGCATCTTGAATTATTGTCTTACAATTGCTTTTCTTTATCACTGTCAGTTTGATTCACCAGAAAATATTTGGCATTCAGGAAACTTTTCTTGTGCGTTTCTGTCGGTCTTTGGGCTGGGCTTATAATAGGATTTGTGACAGAGTACTATACTAGCAATGCGTACAGGTAATTGAGTTTTGGGCATTTACCTAGTCGATTCTCAATGATTCAATTACTTTTGTATAAAATCTGATCATGAATTTGGTTTGGTTTTTCAGCCCTGTGCAGGATGTTGCTGATTCCTGCCGAACCGGAGCTGCTACCAATGTTATTTTTGGCTTGGCTTTGGGATACAAATCTGTCATTATCCCCATTTTTGCAATTGCAGTTAGCATTTTTGTTAGTTTCACCTTTGCTGCAATGTACGGCATTGCTGTTGCTGCTCTTGGAATGTTGAGTACAATAGCTACTGGTTTGGCCATTGATGCATATGGTCCAATCAGTGACAATGCTGGAGGCATTGCAGAGATGGCAGGCATGAGCCACAGAATTCGGGAGAGAACTGATGCCCTTGATGCTGCAGGAAACACGACTGCAGCTATTGGAAAGGTATTTTCATTTATTCTTTTCGTCTCAATTGTAATGTTTTCTTTATCACAATTTGTGCAGTCGGTAGTAGCTTATTCTTTATTTGCATTTTCCAGGGTTTTGCCATTGGTTCAGCTGCTCTTGTGTCCCTTGCCCTCTTCGGTGCCTTCGTCAGCCGTGCTGGTGTCACTTCTGTTGATGTCTTGACACCCAAAGTTTTCATTGGCTTGATCGTAGGTGCTATGCTGCCGTACTGGTTTTCTGCCATGACAATGAAGAGTGTTGGGAGTGCAGCGCTAAAGATGGTCGAGGAGGTGCGAAGGCAATTCAACACCATCCCAGGTCTCATGGAGGGCACTGCTAAGCCCGACTACGCTACATGTGTCAAGATCTCAACCGATGCTTCTATCAAGGAGATGATCCCACCTGGTGCCCTTGTCATGTTGACACCCCTAATTGTTGGTATCCTATTCGGGGTTGAAACTCTTTCTGGTGTCCTTGCTGGATCCCTTGTTTCTGGTGTGCAGGTATATGTGATGGCCTGTTAAAACCTTTGCTTGAACCTTATAGTGCCACCATCTAACTGATGGTTCTTGTTTTGCAGATCGCCATCTCTGCATCCAACACTGGAGGTGCCTGGGATAACGCTAAGAAGTACATCGAGGTATGTCGAATCCCATAGTCATCTTTACAATGTCGTAATGATTTCATGGTGCTAGATGTAATAGCAAGTTGGTGTTATGGATAGGCTGGTGCCTCTGAGCATGCAAGAACCCTCGGCCCGAAAGGATCAGATCCACACAAAGCCGCTGTTATCGGCGACACGATCGGAGACCCGCTCAAGGATACATCCGGACCTTCTCTCAACATTCTCATCAAGCTGATGGCTGTGGAGTCCCTTGTGTTTGCTCCTTTCTTTGCCACTCACGGTGGGCTTCTCTTCAAGCTCTAGAAAAAGCAAGAGGAATCTTTGTTCGAATGCCATCCTCTCCCTTTCCCCTCCATTGACATAACCTCTCTACCTCTCCTCCGCGAAATTTTCACTGTGCTTTTAGACTTGGTATTGTATGTTAAAGTCTGTAGCTTTTGATTGATATTCTCTTTTGAGAAACTTGTAGTTTCAAGTGGAAGAGCCTTTTACCTTTTTTCATCGGTTGTTGATGAAGAAAAAGAAGAAAAGAAGAGATATTCGTTAAATCTTGTGAAATGAGACTGCAAATGTTATTCTCTTTTTCCCAATTGATAGATAACCTTTTCATACCTTAACTTTTACTCCCAGAAACGAAACATTTCTTATAAGAGGATAGAAACTTTTTTCTTAAAAGCGGTCTTATTTGAAAAGTTAAACATCTGCATATACCCAATTTTGGAACAAAACCTTTCTTTTAAACTAATAGCGGTGTTTGAAAATATATATCACATTCTTGTCTCTACAACAAACTTCAAACAAAGTTTTATTTAAAATACAACCAAATTTTACCATTGCATAAGATTTTATTCCTACATTCGTTTGTAGAGATACCAAATTTAGATTTTTGCTGTCTCGATTGGTCTTCGGCCTCGTTGGTAGTACTCGAAGTAAAGGTCAACTAAGTTCTTAACAGGCTTGTACGATCTTGGTTGAGTTTCATCAATGAGCGTCTCTAATGGTCCAATTTCTTTCTTAGGATCTGGGACGTAAAACACGGCTAGAGATGTCCTCTCGCTCTTTAAATTCGTCAATACCCTATGAACTGGACTCTTGAATATCCCGTTACTTGCAATCTGCCAAATTACGAACATGTTTCACAGTAATTTTAAAATAAATATTTTTATGAGGTTACATATTACATACTTTTTAAAGTTTAATGGAGCAGTCTAAGCTCACTTCTAGTAGATATTGTCCGCTTTGACCCGTTACGTATCGCCGTTAACCTCACAGTTTTGAAACGCGTCTACTAGGTAGAGGATTCCACACCCTTATAAGTAATGTCTCGTTCTCTTCTCCAACCAATGTGAGATCTCATAATCCACCCCCTTAGGGGCCCATCGTCTTCACTAGCACACCGCTCGGTGTCTGCCTATGATACCATTTGTAACAACCCAAAATTGTCGCTAACAAATATAGCCTTAAGATTTTAAAATGCATCTACTAAAAAGAAGTTTCTACACCCTTATAAAAAATGATTTGTTCCCTCCCAACGAGATCTCACATTTAAGGAGCTAAACTTTGAAATCTAACCTAATTATAATTAGGGTTTACCTCGACTTGATCTCCGACAAGGACGAGAAGCGCGTCGGGAAGTATCGGGGCATTGAACCACTCATCCCCTTTCAAGAACTGAAGCCCTTCAACTTGCTCGTCCTGCAGCAAAACGGTGATGGCCGATACATCAGCATGAGGCTTGGCACCAAGAACAAGATCAGGATTCGGACATGGAGGGTAGAAATTGAAGCGTGCAGCCAATTCAAATCGCTCACCAAACTGTTCGACAAAGCTATTCTCATCCAAATCCAATGATCTTCCCATGGCCTTCAAGATTTCCTCGCATACCACTCTCATATTAGCACTATACTCATCAATAACTTCCCTGAAATCAATGTTGAATGTTCTTCAATCCCATTCAAAACTGTATGATTTCAAAGCGATTCCAGAAAATTACCTAAATCTGTGAGGATTTGATGGCCAGTGCTTAACACGACGGCTTTCTTCTGGGTACAGAGTGAGGAACAAACGATGATTCCAATCAAGAATTTGGGTGTCGGATAGAACCTTGTCGTTGCCGTATCCTTCAATCTCAGCTTCTTCCATGGAGTATTTCAGCTTCTCTTCCATTGGACGAGCAAAGAATTGTTTGATTACGTGGCGAACATCTTCCAGGAATTCAGGAGACATTCCATGGTTTATTCCCTGAAACAGAGCATCATTTTTTGAAACATTCGGTTAAGAAAATCTAAATGTTCCAGAAAGTTGGGGTGAAATCGAACCAGAATGCAGCCCCATGTCTGGAGTCCATGTCGGAGTTTCTCCAGCTCCGGCCCGGAATTGGGGGAAGCTGAGAGGAGGGCGATATCAATGACAGAAGCTTGCATTAATGGAGCATCCGGAGCACCCCGATCCCTTTCTTTATGGATGTAGCCTTCCGGCACTTCCGCTTTAGAACCCATTTCTTGGACGCTGCCGGAAGGGTTGGTTCCGGCCATGGAGGATGGGGTAGCAACAAGACAAGGCAACGACGGCGCAGCAACGATGGGCAGCTCTGTAATGGCTTCTCTCCTGGATTGAAGGCAAGGCAAGTAGACGTGGCGACATTAAATTGAAGACGTCGACAACTTTTGAGACACTTGGCGAGAATATTATTAAAAATTTGTCACGCCATTTAATGAAAATAGGTTGAGTCAGATAAAATGGATAAGAATTCATAGCTCGCTATTCAATGACTATAAGCTCCTTTTGCCAAAAACAAACAATAACTAATAGCGGTGAGGTTGAGCTGATATAAATAGTATCAAAGGTTGATACCGTGTGGTGTGCCAACGAGGATACTGACTCCCAATAGGGTAGATTTAAATTGCTACATCGTCTTTATTTTTGTTTATATTATTTGATTGAGACATAAAATTTGTTTTGTTCCATTGTCGATGTGATATTTTTCATGACCAATAAGAAAAGGGTATGAACTAACATGGACATAGGAGAGTTGAATATCTCGATATAACCCAGATGGATGGATATTCGAAATCTCCCAGTGACATCTAGTGCCTTGATATAACTTAGATAGATGGATGTTTAGAATGTCCTGATGACGTCTTGTGTCCAATGCCTCAATATAATCTAAGTGGATGGATGTTTGAGATGTCCCAATGATGTAAACGACATATAGGTCTGTTCTTGATGACCATAACTAAATAAATTAGGATGATGACAAATGATTAGCTGTGCCATGTATATTCTCTTTCCTCTCTACTTGGAGTTAAAAAAATTCCGACACCATCTTATTCCTAAGAATAGCGTAGATATAAGTCCATACAAAACTCGTCCAAACAAGAACCTCATAGAACAAATTGGAAGAAAAACATAAACAAACAAAATAAATTATGATTCCATTGATTAAGATTGATACCAAACTTAGATTCGTGCGGCCTCCATGGGCCTCTGGCCCTGCTGGTAGTACTGAAAGTAAAGGCCAACGAAGTTCTTCACAGACTTGTACAACCTTGGCCGAGTTTCATCGATGAGCTTCTCCAATGGTTCAATTTCTTTCTCCGAATCCGGAAGGTAAAACACTGCCAACGATATCCTCTCCCTCTCTGAGTTCGTCAACACTCTATGAACTGGACTCTTGAATATCCCATTACTCGTGATCTGCCATGAACATGTTTGAGAAAATTTTTGAAGAAAAGAGGACAATATCTACTCACGGGTTCAGCTATACTAATTGAACCAGAGAGTGTTTGTTTACCTCTGCTTGATCCCCAACATTGACGAGAAGAGCGCCAGGAACGATCGGGGCGTTGAACCACTCATTGCCGTTCAAGAACTGAAGACCTTCTACTTCCTCATCCTGCAACAAAATCGTGATGGCCGATCCATCCGCATGCGGTTTCACGCCAAGAACAAGATCCGGATTTCGACATCGAGGGTAGAAATTGAACCGTGCGTCCAGTTTAACTTCCTCACCGTACTGTTTGATGAAGCTATCTTCGTTTAAATCCAATGAAATCGCCATAGCTTTAAGGATTTTCTCGCTTAACAGCTTCACATTTGCAGTGTACTCGTGAAGAACTTCCCTGCAATGTTCATCACGAATCAACTCGTTTCTGCAGATTCTTCGAAAAATCGTGAAGGTTTGAGAAAAGTACCTGAATCTTTCAGGATTTGTTGGCCAGTACTTGAATCGATGGCTTTCTTTTGGATATACAGTAAGGTATAATCGATCAGTCCAATCGAGAATTTGTTGATTTGATAGAATCATGTCGTTTCCATATCCTTCAATCTCATTTTCTTCCCTCGAGTATTTCGATTTCTCTTCCATTGGAAGATCAAAGAACTGTTTCGCTAATCGACGAACTTCATCCAAAAACTCCGCTGACATTCCATGATTTACAACCTGTTTGAATACCAGAAACCTAGCGATTTTTTTTATATCTGATTTGAATCGACTTACGATCGTTTTGATGAGATCTAGATGCAGAGTCAATGGACTAGGTCCGCCGATTAGGGTTTAAGAAATCGAACCTGAAAGCAGCCCCATGACTGAAGTCCATGACGGAGTTTCTCCAGTTCTGGTCCGGATTTGGATGGAGAGGAGAGGAGAGCCATATCGATTACAGGAGCTGCCATTAAAGGAGCATCTAGAGCTCCTCGATCGCTTTCAATATGGATGTATCTTTCCGGGACTTCTCCTTTGGAAGCTACATCTTGGACGGTGCCGGATGGGTTTGTTCCGGCCATGGCTGGTGGTGCAGAAGCGACGGAGTTCTGCTGTTCCGGTTGCAATACAGAGATCAATACAGAGCATTTTAATCGGTTTAGAAATGAAATTGGATTTGTCAACTGCAATCTCGAGAAGACACTAAAATATTATTTTCTTGACTCGGGACTTGTTATTGTATTAATTTCAACTTTAAAATTTTAATTTCAGGATGAATTTGGTAGATTTTAGGATATGAACTCATATTTAAACCTTGGACTTTCAAACTTGAATGAGTGTTTATAGTTACACTCTGATTATGTTTTTTTTTCCTTCAGTTTCAATTATAGGGTAGCAATCTACTTGCTTTATCGACTTTCGGTAGAAACAAAGATTATTTATATAGCTTTTTCCCGGCCTTAGGAGTTATATATTGACGTCAGTCTTAGGATTTTAAAATGCCTAGTTCCCAAAACATTCTTTTCAAACGTCAGTCTTAGGTTGGAGAGGGAATGAAATATTCTTTATAATAGTGTGGAAACCTCTCCCTAATATACGCGTTTTAAAACTATGAGACTGATGGCAAAAAGTAACGGGTCAAAATGAACATCTGTAGCGGTGAGCTTGGTTGTTACAAATGGTATTAGAGCCACACACCATAGGGCGGTGTGCCAACGAGGATGCTGCCGCTAAAAAGGTAGATTATGAGTTCCCACATTGATTGAAGAGGAGAATAAAACATTCTTTACAAGCGTATATAAACTTCTCCCTAATATATGCGTTTTAAAACCGTGAGACTGACGCCAAAACGAACTATACGGACAATATTTACTAGCAGTAGGCTTGAGTTGTTACAAACGGTATTAGAGCCACACACACGGCGGGGCAGTGTGCTAACTAAGATACTGGCCCCTAAGAGGGTAGATTGTGAGATCTCACATCGATAGGAGAGGAGAACAAAACATTCTTGTACAAGGGTGTAGAAACATCTCCCTAATAGACGCATTTTAAAACTGTGAGGCTGACGGCTAGACGTAACAAGTCAAACCAGATCATAGTTGATTTAAGCTTCGTTCTCCTTTCTAATCAATATTCTGAATTGGATCAGGAGAAAATCTGTACAACAAAACCCATTCCCCAATCACAATTACAAACTTTTCAATTCATTATCATCAGATCAATCCATTCAACACACAATTAAGAAACAGGAACACCCCACAAAGCACAAACAGTCTTAATCAAAAACATATCAGCAGAAGGAACATCTTTAAGAAACGCAGAAGAACACCGATTAAGCTTAGAAATGGCTCTGCAACAAGACGGATGAGGAGCCACCGCTTTCTTCATCACATCTACCACACACTCGGTCATCTCCGAAACAGCCGACGTGCAACCAAACAACGAGAACCCTTCCGCTGCGAAGGGATCAGGCGCCATCGCCGCGCGCGCCATCGTGGGTGATGCCAAAATGGCTATGCAAACAAGGCATGCAGCTGCTACCTTCATCGCATATGCGTGCTAAGACGCTTGGCTTGGTGGGTGGAAGAAGATATAGGGTGTGTAAAGGCTTGGCGTCATTATGGGCATTGAAAACTGCAATTATGTTAAGGGTGTAGCTTTTTTTTGCGATGGAAACAGTCATAATTCGTGCTATCATTATCGTTGATGGATTCATTCACGCGGGAATGTTGAAGTGTGATATTGAAGCAAAGAAATAAATATAGAAGAATTGCTTTTTTTTGGTCTTTAATGATAAAGTATTCCAAGATTCCAAAAAAAGAAAAAAAAACATTACTTTTACTTTCGGAGATTTTAATGATGCTCAATTTTGGTCTTAAAAAAAAGGCATTAGTATACTACTAATCATGATTTGATCTACTAAAATGACCTTAAAGATGGTCTTATTAGGGTTTAGAGTTTAATTAACTGACGATGCCTTGAACGCCACAACAAAATGGCACATTGGAGAGAGAATATTAAGAAGGAATTTTTGGGAGATGCTATAGCATGTTCTGTTTATTTGTTAAACTGGTTCCATTTGTGGTAAACGGTTATCTTCTTCTCTAAGAACTCAAACTCACCCGTTTTAGTAGATGTTGACCGTTTTGGCTTATTCATCAGACTCACCTACAACTAGTAGATATTGTCTGCTGCAACTCGTTATGAGTTGCCGTCAGCCTCACGAAGGGAGAGGTCCACACCCTTGTAAATAATGTGTGATTTTACAATCGGCCCTCTTGAGGGCCCATTGTTCTCATTGACATACTACCCACTGTTTAGTTATAATACCATTTGTAATAGCAAAAACAATCCACCCCCTTGAGAGCCCATAGTCTTCGTTGACACACTGCCTAATGTCTAGTTTGATACTTTTGTCACAGCACAAGTCAATTGCTGACAGAAATTGTTTGCTTTGGTCTGCACCGTCAACCTAAGGGTTTTAAAATGTGTTTGTTAATGAAGATGTTTCCGCACCCTTCAAAAAATGTTTAGTTCCTCTTCCAACCAATGTTGGATCTTACATCTTACTTTTTTTTAGGATTCAGACAAAATCCATGAAACATAAGGGATCCGTAAGGACAGTGATTGCGACTTACTATTTTTTCATTATCCCGACTGAAATAATGAGTCTCACGACAGTGAAAGGAAACTCAATATCAAATACTTATCCGACCGTTAATCATTACGGTACATTCTCTTCGTATTCAAATTTCCATACTTCATAATCATTCAAATAATCGAAAGATCATTTAGTTTAAAAAATAGAAACACCTCACGAACCAACCAAAATCATATCACCGGAGGGTACGTCTTCGAAAAACTCAGACGAACAATCTTCGAGTTTAGAAATAGCTTTGCAACAAGACGAACAATAATATTAAGCACGTTGAACACTAAAGATCATAAATTCCATACAATATTCATATAAATTTCTTATTCATAGCAATTTTAGAGAAGTTTATTTTTTTCTCTTGAAACGCTTAAACGCCTTACAAATTACAAAGCTTCTTAATAATATCCATATCGGCAGGAGGAATCATTCCATAGATTTTAGGGGCACAATCGTTGAGCGAAGAAATAGCTTTGCAACAAGAAGGATGAGGACCAGTCGGAACCTTGACCACATCTACCACACACAATGAAGCTTCCAATATAAACGGAAAGCAACTTCCGAAAGAAGCATCTACGTCAACTGATTGGTCGAGCAATTCCACCATCATGCGAGCCATTGTCGGTGATGCTAAAATTGCGATGGAGGCGAGGAATACGAATGCTAGCTTCATTGTTAATATGCTCGACCTTCTAGAGAAGTTTTGTTTTGTGGGTGTGAGAAAATTGTAGATTGTAAAGGTTCTTATATAGGGGTAAACATGGAGTACGTGTGTTTTTTTGGTATCTTTTCTGTTCATAAATTTAACCCTTATTTGAGTGAGATCCCATATTTATTAGAGACGGGAACGAAACATTTCTTATAAGGGTGTGAAAATCTTTCTTAGTAAAAACATTTTAAAATCGTGAGACTAACAACGATACGTTACGACCATTACAAATAGCATTAGAGGCATTTTAAACCCATTTTAAAATTGTGAGGTTGACCACTACCCTATATCTACTAGCAGTGGACTTGGACTATTACAATTTGAGTAAAAGTCAAACTATTAACATTAGGTCGATGATAACTAATGTTTTATTCACTAAATTAATCGGTATTATTATTATTTATATAGTTGAAAGCTTATTATTTATTTTATTGTTATAATATTTAAGAATAATTACCGCTCTATTTGAATAATTTATTTAAAATTAAGGAATAATTAATAATTAGAATAATATGATGTTTGTTTAGGAAAGAAAATTATTAGTAAATTTAAGAAGAGAGAAAAAAATAAATAATGGGTGTCATTTATTTATTGATGAGAGAAAAAAAATATTAGAATGTAAAATAAATAATAAAGGTGGTGTGAGGGGTACAGACAATATAATGAAAACGAGGACAAAATTGGTTGACTTTTCTTTTTTTAAAAACTTTAGATACTAAATGGTCATTAAGATTGTTATTTGGAGACTTTTCCTTTTAAATTTTTAAGTAATAATTGTTAATGGAGATACCAAATTTGTAAAAACCTTCCTTATAAACTATTTCTTTTTCTACGGAATTGTTTGTTTTTTTTAGGGAATTCTTGACTAAATTTTAAAATTGTGAGATTGACGGTGATATGTAGCGGGTTAAAATGGATAATATCTGCTAACAGTAGGTGTGAGATCTCATATTAGTTAGAGAGGAGAACAAAACATTTCTTAGAAGGAAGTGATAATCTCCTATTAGCAGACACGTTTTAAAACCGTGAGCCTGACAGTGCAAGGGCTAGACTTTCTCCACACTAGACAAGTTTAAAACTGTGAGGCTAATGACGCTCTATAACGAGCCAAAAGGGGACAATATTTACTAGCAGTGAATTTAAGATGTTACAAATGGTATCAAAGTCAGACATTGGGCGGTGTGCTGGCGAGGACGTTGTACCCCATAGGAGGGTGGATTGTGGGATCACTCATTAGTTGAGGAGGAAGTGGAAACCTCTCCCTAACGCATTTTAAAACCGATATGTAATGGATCAAAACGAACAATATTCTATTTAAGAAAGTGGAAACCTCTCACCTAATAGACTTGTTTTAAAACGTGAGGCAGACGGTGATATCGAACAAGCCAAAACGAACAATATCTAATAGAGCAGTATTCCTCGTAAGAAAGTGGAAACTTCTCACCGGTAGATGCATTTTAAAATCGTGAGACTGACGACGATACCTAACAGACCAAAATTCTTTTAGACGGGAAAAAAACAAAGTTCATAATCACGGGAAAGTCTTTTAGACGAAAAAATATGATGATATATATTCTATGACACAACGAGCAACCTATCTCGTCACATGTTCCATAACCCTTGCCATTACTTTCGAGTTACAAAATAGAAATTCGATTTAGTTGTTCTAAAGAGAAGAAATGCAAATCGAATTTAATAAAAATTTAAAATGAATATACATATACCTCCAGACTAAGATTACAAACTGTATGTCATTACACCATAAACTACAAAACAAGATAAGAAACAATGAAAGAATTTGTTTTCTAGACGACTTGAAAATATCTATGAGCTTAAACATAAAAACTAGTTTAGGAGACAAGAGAATGAATGAAGGTGAAAGCAGAAACTAAATAAAATGGAAGCCCCTGCAATTTCATGGATAGAAGAACCCTGTATGGAGAAAG